AATAACTTAAGTGTAAGAGTAACAAATAACTTAAGTGTAAAGAGTAACAATGAGTAACCAAGTTAACCTAGGTTAACTTAAACTCCTTTCTGATTTATTGAGTTGTCTACTAAGACTTTTTGATTCTATTTCAAAGCATCTTCCTAATCTCTTTAGGTTTAATTACTCCCCTCTCCCGAAACAAAACAAAATCAAATCTGGCATTGTTCCAAAGTCAAATCTATTCCTACACAAATGCCAATATTTTAAAGATTGTGTCTTACCAGAAAAAGTAAGAAGACCGGGCGCCATGGCTCACGCCTGTAATCCTAGCACTCTGGGAGGCCGAGGCGGGCGGATTGCTCGAGGTCAGGAGTTCGAAACCTGCCTGAGCAAGAGCGAGACCCTGTCTCTACTATAAATAGAAAGAAATTAATTGGCCAACCAATATTTATAGAAAAAATTAGCCGGGCATGGTGGTGCATGTCTGTAGTCCCAGCTACTCAGGAGGCTGAGGTAGCAGGATCACTTGAGCCCAGGAGTTTGAGGTTGCTGTGAGCTAGGCTGACGCCACGGCATTCACTCTAGCCTGGGCAACAAAGTGAGACTCTGTCTCAAAATAAATAAATAAATAAAAATAAAAAGTAAGAAGAAACCTATGGGAAAACAGAATGACATCAATTAGTGTGGAAGTATCCTGGATGGTTTTATGTTGTCAGTCTCTTCCTATCTCATATCTTAATACTTTGTTTTTAAAAAAAAAAGACTTCTTTATTGGGTAACCTCTTTGCTATGTACTATAATAAACAATTGAACATGCATTATTTCATTAATCATTCTAATTAACCTTAGGTAAGAAAACTGAGAATTGAAAATAGAGCTTGAAGACAAACAAATGTGAATGTAACCCTTTACATCCAAAATTACAATTCTAAGAACATTTAATCAGAACAGCTTATATTTTGGTTTGATATCTTTGTACCCATAATGAGTTTGCCTGAGTCACCCAGAGGCATGAGAGTGACCAGGGTTATAATTTAATAAAATAACTGACAAGGTGATATGTTGTAATAGAAAATGTATGAGCCAATCGTGGGGGGCTAATCCTGGTTCCATGCTGGAATATGTGACCTGTGGAAGTCATTTCCTTCTTTGGTGAAATCACTTCCCTCTCAGCCCCTCTAAAATGAAAGGCATGTCCCAGCTATAGGCATAGGCTATAGGTATCTATGAATCTATAATTGGAAATAGAGGCTTTCAGAGAGTCTTAATGTACTTTAGCAAAGGTGGGCAGACATCCAAGACCAGCCAAGGACTTTTGAAAGCAGAAGAAATGGTCATCTGTCCTCAATTACATTTCTAAAATGTCTTTGGATTCATAATATCAGCAGGATATCCCTATTTTGTTGCTCACGCTCATTAGTGGTCACAGAACCTATCATGTGAGAGCTGTTCAGTAAATGTATTTTGAATAAATGTTTATAGAAGCTCTTTTATTCTTCAATATTGTGGAGGATTTTTCTATCAAATATCACCAGATATATTTAGTGACAATACTTCCTTATTGTCTCTTTCCACCTCAGTAGTCGCTATCGTTATCCTTATATAGCCTTCAGCCCTGCTTCAGGTTCTGTGCACTGACCCAGATGTTCCTTTATGTGAAACAAATGACTAAAACCTTAAAAAAATCATGTTATTTCTAACATCAGTCTCTACCTGTCATTTAAATTGAATTCTTGGATATTTTCAAGGAAAGATTCTCGGTTGGGATTTGTCAGATTTTGGCATTGAGATTAAAGCTAATCAGTTTTGCTCTCTTGAATTTGCTTTTCTAGTGAAGCACTAAAAGAAAAACTTCAAATCTATTAGAATGGCTAATGTTTTATTATTTATTTATTTATTTTGAGACAGAGTCTCACTTTGTTGCCCAGGCTAGAGTGAGTGCCGTGGCGTCAGCTTAGCTCACAGCAACCTCAAACTCCTGGGCTCAAGCAATCCTGCTGCCTCAGCCTCCCGAGTAGCTGAGACTATAGGCATGCTCCACCATGCCCGGCTAATTTTTCTCTTTATATTAGTTGGCCAATTAATTTGTTTCTATTTATAGTAGAGACGGGGTGTCGCTCTTGCTCAGGCTGGTTTCAAACTCCTGACCTTGAGTGATCCGCCCGCCTCGGCCTCCCAGAGTGCTAGGATTACAGGTGTGAGCCACCGTGCCCGGCCTAATGTTTTTTTTTTTTTTTTTTTTGAGACAGAGTCTCACTTTGTTGCCCAGGCTAGAGTGAGTGTCGTGGAGTCAGCCTGGCTCACAGCAACCTCAATCTCCGGGGCTCAGCGATCCTACTGCCTCAGCCTCCCGAGTAGCTGGGACTACAGGCATGCGCCACCATGCCCGGCTAATTTTTTGTATATATATTTTTAGTTGGTCAATTAATTTATTTCTATTTTTGGTAGAGACGGGGTCTCGCTCGGGCTGGTTTCGAACTCCTGACCTTGAGCAATCCGCCCGCCTCGGCCTCCCAGAGTGCTAGGATTACAAGCGTGAGCCACCACGCCCGGCCTGGCCTAATGTTTTATATAATACTCTGGAGTTTATGAAATGGCTACTTACATGATTATCTCGGTTAATCACCACAACAGTTCCAGGGGTGAGTGTAATCCCCATTTGTAGATGTAGAAACTAAGAAATGAAGAGGCTAAGTGATTTTCTCAGGGTCTGATGACTAATAGAGGCAGAAGTAGGACTCAAGTCTTGGTCCTCCAGTTCCAGATCTTGTCTTTTCTACTGTCCCACACTGTCTGTAATTTCTTCCTTTGCATTAAAGCCATGATTTGTGGTCACCCAAAAATGGGTTGAGAGTCTGACCCTTCATATGCAAGATCCCATCAACTTAATAGTAGTTACTGGAACATAATGTCACCATGGCTACTGTATTCAATGTGGAAAATAACCTTGTGAAATATTTGAAAAACTACTACTATGTGATTGTTTTAGATTATGCTGCCTAATCTTTGTTTTCAAATGAGGTAATTAGTGTGTGGTGTTTGTTTCTGAAATGCAATTAACAGGAATAGGCCCTAGATAGAAGAAGGTTGTTTTTTCTTCTTTCAGCCAGCCAGCTATGGTACAGCTCATGAAGTTTCCTCTCTGGATTGCCATTTCCAGCAAATGTTCTTCATTTCCTTTGCTCTGCTGCCCCAGCCCTCTGTCTGTAGGGAGGTTACTATATCTTAGAAGAATCCCTGAATAACTTAGAGTTAAATTTTTGTGGCAGCAACCTAAGTCTCACCAGGTGGGCTCCCTGCCTACTTAGAAAAGTCATCTGGTACTGAAACTCCATCAAATCTAGCTTGGGTTCCTGCCATGCCTTGAGCATGGGGCATCAGTACTTTTTTTCTCAGGATATGAACAATATTTCCCCTCTGGGACTTTGCAGTTGGCACCAACTATTTCTTTTCATTTTTGACTGTAATTCTAGTCTAAATAATCTCATGGGCTCTGGCTCCAACTTCTTGTTGTTCTCTAATCCCAAGCAGTCAAGATCAGACACTGAGGTATCTCTTTACTGCCAGCCCAGACTTGAACTTTGGAAATTGTGAGAAACTCCATTCTTTGGGCACATAGATCTTATGACTCTACCATATAAGAGTTTTCCCTGCTGAGTAGAAATGGCATCAGGATAATATGGAGGAAAGAATGATGAAAATAGTCCTTTATGGATGTATGATCTTTTATTGACAAATGATTTTATTAAAATGTTTATTATCTTGTGTTTTTTTTCTCATAACTCCAGGAAGCAATCTGGCAGAATGGTTAAGAATATCAAGTCTGGATCTCTACTGCCTCAGTTTTTTTTTTTTTTTTTTTTTGAGACAGAGTCTCACTTTGTTGCCCAGGCTAGAGTGAGTGCCGTGGTGTCAGCCTAGCTCACAGCAACCTCAAACTCCTAGGCTGAAGTGATCCTCTTGTCTCAGCCTCCTGGGTTACTGGGACTACAGGCATGGGCCATCATGCCCAGCTAATTTTTTCTACATATTTTTAGTTGACCAATTAATTTCTTTCTATTGGACTCCTGACCTTGGGCGATCCATCTGCCTTGGCCTCTCAGAGTACTAGGATGATTCTTACTTCTGAGCATATGCCAAATGCACTCTTGGAGGAGAAGAAACATGCCATCCTTCTTTTTCCATCTCTCCCATTTCCTCAATTCCCCACAGGGAGGATTATACGTGGGCAGAGATTCAAGAATAGAAAAAATAAAACTAGTAAGTGCTAGGGGTATAGTAGGCACTCTTGAGACACATGGCAGCATCGCAAGTGGTGGAGAGGAAGGGTAATTGAGAGGCAGGGAAAATAAGGCATTCCCTGGCACCACTGGGAAACAGCGTATATCCTTATTTGCTACACTGACTGTGTCAGGGAGCTGTGGTAATCACTTAATTTCATCTAAAATTGATAGCAGAGCTTCTCCTAATTGGCCTTGTATTGTTGTATCCTTTTGATTGTCTCGTTATTTAACTTGAGCCCTCTTCATATCCATTGAGATTCCAGGGAAAGTAGGGATGGGAGAAGAGAATAGATTCAAGGGATATTTGGGAGAAACGTTTCATTCTAACAGAAACCCTGTGAGTCATCAGGGAAGATATTAGTATCATTAGTTTACGGAAGAGAAGTGATTTGCACAAATCATAAATGGTAAAACTTGAATTCTGGTCTTTGACTTCAAGCATAGAGATCATCGCAGCACACCATGTATTTTCCCCATGCAAGTAGAATGACCCAGGTGATTAATAGCAGAACTGAGTCTGGTACATAGGCAGTAGTGCTGAGTGTTGGATATTTTGCTGATGAAGAAATGCTACATATCATTTACATTGTGGGTTTAAAAAGAAGTTAAATTAAATTATTTAAACAAAACAAAACAAAAAAAAGAAATGCTATAGATTGGGCAAGCTCCCTTTCCTGTATATAAGGAGCAATCTTTAGTTTTTTAGTAATTCTGTAATATTTCTACTTTATTTAGGCTATCATTTGGAAGCAATGAGTTTAAAACCCTTTACCTACCCATTTCCAGAGACGAGGTTTCTTCATGCAGGACCCAATGTGTATAAATTCAAAATCAGATATGGCAACAGCATCAGGTAATTTTAAAGGTAGGAGGGTAAGCTATCCAAGCACCAGTCAGTGCCTTCCCACGGGTCATTTCTTCTCTGCCTTCACCCAGTACAGGAAGCTGGCTAAAGTAGCATCTTGTAGGACTTTCCGAGGTATTTTATATTCAGTATATTTATTATTCATATAAGTTTCTAATTAGAGACAACGTACTTTTGAGGCAGTGTTTCTCAAAATTTTTATCTCAGAACCTCTTTGTATTCTTAAAATTACCGAAGACCATAGGGCTGAGCACGGTGGCTCACACATGTAATCCTAGCCCTCTGGGAGGCCAAGGTGGGAGGATGGCTTGAGCTCAGGAGTTTGAGACCAGCCTGGGCAAGAGTAAGACCCTGTCTCTAATTAAAAAAAATTTTTTTTTAAAAACCCAAACTAGTTGTCAAGTTTTGTTTGAGTTTCAAAGAAGAATATCCACAATGATCTAAGAGGGCTGTTAATATTAAACTGTGAACAGTGGCTCATGCCTGTAATTCCAGCATCTTGGGAGGCTGAGGCGGGAGGATGGCTTGAGCCCAAGAGTTGAGGTTACAATAAGCTAAAACTACCACTGAACTCTAGCCTAGGGGACAGCGCAAGACCCCATCTCTTTAAAAAAAAAGTTAACATCTCATGGATGATTATTTTAAAATTAATACATTTTAAAATTGTGATTTAAAAAATCTATAACAAAATTGGTACAGTGGCCTGCACCAATAATCCCTGCTACTTGGGAGGCTGTGGGCAGGAGGATTGCTTGAGGCCAAGAGTTCAATACCACCCTGGGCAACATAGACCCCATCTCTAAAAAAATAAATAATTAGCTGGGTGCAGTGATGTGCACCTGTAGTCCCAGTTTAACATGCTTTTATTAAAAATATATTTTTGCCAGGCGTGGTGGCTCACGCTTGTAATCCTAGCACTCTGGGAGGCCGAGGCAAGTGGATTGCTCCAGGTCAGGAGTTCGAAACCAGGCTGAGCAAGAGCAAGACACCATCTCTACTAAAAATAGGAAGAAATTAATTGGCCAACTAAAAATATATAGAAAAAATTAGCCGGGCATGGTGACACATGCTTGTAGTCCCTGCTACTCGGGGACTACAGCCCTCTTCATATCCATTGAGATTCCAGGGAAAGTAGGGATGGGAGAAGAGAATAGATTCAAGGGATATTTGGGAGAAACATTTCATTCTAACAGAAACCCTGTGAGTCATCAGGGAAGATGACTGAAGCGGGAGACTGAGGCAGGAGGGTCGTTTGAGCCCAGGGGTTTGAGGTTGCTGTGAGCTAGGCTGATGCCACAGCACTCTAGCCCTTGCAACAGAGTGAGACTCTGTCTCAAAAATATATATATTATATTTAAAACAAAAAAAAATAATGGAAGATTGGTATCATTTTAATTCTTCTGCAAATCATCATTATGTCTGGTTATGATTAATATCTGATGCTGATTATCTGTTGTGAATTATTTGCTGGTGATTAATGGAAAAAAATCGCGTTTACAATATATTTGAATATGGAAGGGGTAGGAATATATTAACAGCCCTCTTAGATCATTGTGCATATTCTTCTTTGAACCTACAAAAACTGAACTGTTGGGTTGTTTTTTTTTTTTTTTTTTTGAGAGAGAGTTTCGGTTTGTTGTCCAGGCTAGAGTGAGTGCCGTGGGCGTCGCTGAGTCCCAGCAACCTCAAACTCTGGGCTCCAAGCGATCCTCTGTGGCTCCGGTGTGGGCTAAGGTGTGCACTGCCGGGTAATTTTTTCTATATATATCAGTTGGCCAATTAATTTCTTTCTATTTATAGTAGAGACGGGGTCTCACTCTTGCTCAGGCTGGTTTTGAACTCCTGAACTTGAGCAATCCGCCCGCCTCGGTCTCCCAAGAGCTAGGATTACAGGCGTGAGCCACAGCGCCCGGCCTAGTTTGGGTTGTTTTAACTGGTAGTTTTTTTAAAGGTTAGTTGCAATGTGGAATCTGAAATTATATCAGTGAACATTTTAAAACTCTGTTACATTATAAAATCCATTGGTCTATCTTGTTCTTTGAATGAATGTTTTATCTAGGATTATTTTGTAACATGATGTGTTTCGCTGGCCATTTGGAAAATTTTGGTTCACTGGCTTATACAGATCCTCCAAAGAGTGACACATTCCATTACATAATATCAAAAAATATTTGTTAATATCACTGCTGATATTATCAGAAAAGTGTTTAAGTATTTGGAAGCTGTCAAACTTACAATATTGGATACAAGTTTTCCAAAATTCATATTTTCACTCAAAACCCTAAAATTTATCATTGACAACAAATACTGTCAGTTTTTTCTTTGAAGTAACATGCTCATTTTATTCATTTTTGAAAAAGTATCTGTCAGACTTCTGACTTTGAATAACAACCATAGTTTGTCAGCTGGTCATTCAAATAAAATATCATTCCTTGAAAAAAGCAGTTAGTTCAATTTGCAGCTTAAACATCACACAGGTAGGTTTCCTCAAGATACCCATCATATTCAGGTATGCAGTGAAGTGCTTTATGCATAGTGCTGTTTTATCACAAAACACTTAAAAAGATATGTAGTCTGGGTTGAGATTTTAGAAAAATTAATTTTTTACTGTTTTATCAAGGATATTAAATGAAACTGGATTTTATTTCCTGTGTGGCAGTGAAAATTACTATGACTGCTAGTACAGTGTAGTGCAAGTGGCTAGATATGTGCTAAGCCACTAGTAATTTTGCACACCATTCCTTTTGCACTAATGGTTACAAATGTTAACCCAGTAAAAAGCCAAATACTATTTTAGTATCATTATTTTACCCTTGGAGACCCCTTGAAAGAGTCTTATGGACCCCTAAGGGTCCCCAAACCAGACTTTGAATACAATTAGTTTAACGAAATGATTAGCTTTCACAGTGGGATTTAGGTCTTGGTGAGTTAATGGAGAATACATTTTGGTACAGCCTTGTACCAATGTTCAGACCATGCCACCTAGGTGATCACTTCTTTCCCATGAGCACCGGGTTAGCACACACAACTGTTATGTCATGTTTCTTTAGCTCAGTGGAAGTGTCATTTTTGCCCTAGTAGAGTCTACTCTCTCCAGAGCTTTTCTTCTTGTCTTACTTTTGTCTGTTTACCTTCTAGAGGAGAAGAGATAGAAGATAAGGAAGTCGTCATCCGGCAGCTGGAGGTAGGGAAAGGAGCAACAACTTCTGAGAAGGATAACTTTTAAGCCAAGGATGCATTCACATCTAGATTTTAATTATTTCCTACAAACTGAGTCACAACCTCTACTTGATAACTTGGCTTCTTCTCCCTGACACATTTCCTCTGCAAAGAAACTTCACTGTTTTTCCAGGGAAATTTAAAGCCTGTATCCCTTCTCAGTTCTCCTAGTTGATGTGTCAGCACATTTGAGGCTGAGAGTTATTTAGTTTCTACCAGAGTTCCCAGCCTTTGGCAGTTCTCTTTTGTGGCAGCTGGCATAAAGAAAGCTTCCGGAAGACTTCTGCCTTTCAGGGCTCTGGGAAACCTCACCATCTCAACCACTGACTGGTACTTGACGTTCAGGAAACTCAACTGTAAATACACAGACAAGGCTGCTGTGTCTTCATTTTAATTGGAAACATTTGCAATTGCTTTATTCCCACTTCATTTTCATTCCTTTCTACCCAGCTCCTCTAGCTTTAGGCTCTTCCAGAGAAGAAGACTGACCAGGTGGACAGCTTTGCAACTAGGTGAAAGCATTGGACAAGGTGTTAGAGTTCTGGGAGGTGGCCCTGGATTCTAGTCCTGGCCTAGCTACCAATTAGCAATGTAACCTTTGGCAAATCATGTATCAGTCTGGGTCTTAATTGCCTCGTTTGTAAAATGAAAGGTTCAAACTAATTTATCCCCTTCTAACTTCACAGCTTGGTGATTTATGACTATTGTGATTTCTTAAGACTTAAGCTTCCATGTTTTAAAACAATTAAATACAGTTAATACAAAACTCCATGAGAACAAAACTTTGAATCATAGCCTTTTTTAAAAAATTTATTTATTTTCTTTTTTTATTCCGCCCCCACCAGCCACCCCTCAATTGAGTCCTTATAGGCATCTGTGGCTAAGTGTTGGGTGATAATATAGGATCTTGTAGGACCCTCAAGGACATCATTATAAATAATAATTATTTTAATATAAGACCATGAAAACTTTCTGTTTATTTTAATTATGAACAGAGCAGATTTTATTTCACTTTGCTTCAGTTAATCTGGGCAGAGAATTGTTCAAGGCCTCACAGTAGAGTAGAGGGAGTATAGACTTTAGGGCCAGTGTCTGAATTTGAATTCTAGTTCTGTTGTCCACAGTGTGATTTCAGCAAGTTACCCACCCTCCCTGAGTCTGTTTTCTTACCTGTCAAAAGAGATTACTAAGTAATGCCTGTTTTTCCAGATTGTGGTGAGGATTAGAAATAAATATGTGGGCCAGGTGAGGTGGCTCGTTCCTGTAATCCTATCACTCTGGGAGGCCGAGGCTGGAGGATCCTTTGAGCTCAGGAGTTCGAGACCAGCCTGAGCAAGAGCAAGACCCCGTCTCTACTATAAATAGAAAGAAATTTACATGACCACCAATATAAATAGAAAAAATTAGCTGGCATGGTGGCGCATGCCTGTAGTCCCAGTACTTGGGAGGCTGAGCAGAAGGATTGCTTGAGCCCAGAGTTTAGAGTTGCTGTGAGCTAGGCTGACGCCACGGCACTCACCTGATCCTGGCAACAAGTGAGACTCTGTCTCAAAAAAAAAAAAAGAAGAAGTTGAACTCTGTCTACCTTTCTATAGAATGAATCCTGCTTAAAAAAAAAATGGGGGGCCGTGCGTGGGCTCACGCCTGTAAATCCTAGCTCTCTGGAGGCCAAGGCGGGTGATTGCTCAAGGTCAGGTTTTCGAAACCAGCCTGAGCAAGAGCTGAGACCCCGTCTCTACTATAATAAAGAAATTATTGGCCAACTAATATATAATAAAAAAATTAGCCGCGGCATGGTGGCACATGCCTGTATCCCAGCTACTCGGGAGGCTGAGCAGGAGGATCGCTTGAGCCCAGGAGTTTGAGGTTGCTGTGAGCTAGGCTGACCCACGGCACTCACTCTAGCCTGGGCAACACAAGTGAGACTCCTGTCTCAAAAAAAAAAAATAAATAAATAAATAAATAAATAAAAAGAATGTGAACTCTGGAACCCCACTGCCTGGGTTCAGATCTTGGCTCCACCATTTCTAGCTCAAATAAGTTTCTAGCCTCAAATAAGTTTTTTTTTTTTTTTTTTTTTAGACAGAGTCTCACTTTGTGCCCAGGCTAGAGTGAGTGCCGTGGAGTCAGCCTGGCTCACAGCAACCTCAATCTCCGGGCTCAGCGATCCTCGCCTCAGCTCCCGAGTAGCTGGGACTACAGGCATGCGCCACCATGCCGGCTAAATTTTTGTATATATATTTTTAGTTGGTCGATTAATTTATTTCTATTTTTGGTAGAGACGGGGTCTCACTCAGGCTGGTTTCGAACTCCTGACCTTGAGCAATCCGCCCGCCTCGGCCTCCCAAAGTGCTAGGATTACAGGTGTGAGCCACCACGCCCGGCCTCAAATAAGTTTTTTTCACCTTTTTGTCTGTTTCCTCATCTGTAAAATGGGAATAACAGAAATGCCTATTTTGTAGGGTTTTTGTGAGTGTTAAAGTAATTAGTACGTATTAAAACAATAACACTTGCCATAGTTATTACTCAATAAATATTAGCTATTATAATTATAAGCTAGACTTATGGTCATACAGAGAATACAAAGATAAGACAATTTTTGCCTTCTGTGAGCCCTAACATGAGGAAAATGAGTGTGAGAAAGGTGAAATTAGCTAAGACTGAAATTCAGATTTTTTCCTATAGAAATCCAGTATTCTTTATGATACCAAATTGTTTAATTAGTATAGACTAATAAGCATATGTTAATTAGGGACTATAAATTAAGATTTAAAGAGAAGAAAAGATTTGACTTAAGCAAAAGCAAAATAACTGTCTATCAGTAATTACCAGCATTAGTCTTTCATTCAATATACATTTATTGAGGACCTGTTACCCATCATCCACTATGGTAGACACCATAGAAAGGATGCTAATATAAATCAGGTGTATATTCTACTTCAAGTAGATCTCCCAGTAAGGAATATAAACCATATGTGGAATGTAGTAAAGGTTCTAGGCTAGCTATTGTGAAGTTTGAGGCTAACAGTTAATTACAGCTTGGTAAGTCAGGGAAAGCTTTCTGCAGGAGATGCTTCTGAATTGTACCTTAAAAGACAGGTAGGATTTGGACATGTGCTGTTGGATGAAAAGGGCATTTCAGACAGAGGCAACAGATTATGCAAAAACATAGAAATGGAGAAGCAGAAGGCACGCTCAGGGAACAGCAAATAATTCAATTTTGATAGAACATAAGAGTATGTGATGAGGAATGACAAATGGGAATGGAAAGGCTGGCTGAGGCTTGACAGTATTAAAGTCATTTCAAATTTTTTTTTCAGGATTCTATCCGCGTGGTCTTGGGAAACTTGGACAATCTGCAGCCCTTTGCTACAGAACACTTCATTGTATTTCCCTGTATCCTTTCTTTCCTGGCTGGAAATGAGCTACAACACACATTGTAGATTCAAATGGAAGCAGCAAAACCATAGGCAGTTTGGAGGGTAGCTCAGGGAAAGGAGAGGGAGTCTTATACCTAATATAGTACTCAGGGATGCACACTGGCATCTTTCTTCACTCCTTAGCACCATTTCCCAGATAAAAGCAAATGGGAGAGAGTTTCACACCTGAAATTCAAACATGGGGAAATCGTCTTGATCCCCTACCCATTTGTTTTCACTCTATATGTGGAAATGAAATGTTTTCATGAAAACCTGTCACCTGGTAAGTAGAATGATGTGAGTGTTATACAAATGTTTTTGGTTACAAAAAAAAAAAAAAAAAAAAAAGAATGATGTGAGTGTGAGTAGTAGGGAAGAAAATGGATTAGCACCACCAGCTAAATATGGCCAAATGGTCCACCAGATTAGGCCCCACCCGCACACTGCAGAGGTCAGGAGCATGTGCTCCAAGCCAGACTGCCAGGTTCAAATCTTGGTGGCTTTGCCACTTAAAATTGCTGTGCAAAGTTAGATAAATTACTGAATCTTTCTGTGCCTCCTTTGTGAAATGGTGAAGAATAATATTAGTACCTATCTCATTGAGGTTTTTTTTTTTTTTTTGAGACAGAGTCTCACTCTGTTGCCCTGGCTAGAGTGGTCTGGCATCAGCCTAGCTCACAGCAACCTCAAACTCCTGGGCTCAAGTGATCCTTCTGCCTCAGCCTCCTGAGTAGCTAGGACTACAGGCATGCGCCACCATGCCTGGCTAATTTTTTCTAGCTATATTTTTAGTTGTCCAGCCAATTTCTTTCTATTTTTAGTAGAGATGGGGTCTTGCTCTTGCCCAGGCTTGTCTCGAACTCCTGAGCTCAAATGATCCTCCAGCCTCGGCCTCCCAGAGTGCTAGGATTACAAGTGTGAGCCACTGCGCCGGGCCCTCATTGAGTTTTTTGTTTTTGTTTTTGTTTTATTTTTTTGAGACAGAGTGTCACTCTGTTGCCCCGGCTAGAGTGCCATGGCATCAGCCTAGCTCACAGCAACCTCAACCTTCTGGGCTCGAGCAATCCTTCTGCCTCAGCCTCCGAAGTAGCTGGGACTACAGGCATGCGCCACCATGTCCGGCTAATTTTTTCTATATATTTTTAGTTGTCCAATTAATTTCTTTCTATTTTTAGTAGAGACTGTCTCGCTCTTGCTCAGACTGGTTTCAAACTCCTGACCTTGAGTGATCCTCCAGCCTGGGCCTCCCAGAGTGCTAGGATTATAGGCCCCAGAGTGCTAGGATTATAGGTGTGAGCCACCGCGCCCGGCCCCTCATTGAGATTTTTTTTTTTTGAGACAGAGTCTCGCTTTGTTGCCCAGGCTAGAGTGAGAGTACCATGGTGTCAGCCTAGCTCACAGCAACCTCCAACTCCTGGGCTCAAGCAATCCTACTGCCTCAGCCTCCCGAGTAGCTGAGACTACAGGCATGTGCCACCATGCCTGGCTAATTTTTTCTATATATATCAGTTGGCCAATTAATTTCTTTCTATTTATGGTAGAGACGGGGTCTTGCTCTTGCTCAGGCTGCTTTCGAACTCCTGACCTCGAGCAATCTGCCCGCCTCGGCCTCCCAGAGTGCTAGGATTACATGCGTGAGCCACAGCGCCCGGCCTCCCTCATTGGGTTTTTAAAAAGATTAAATAAGGCCGGGCGCGGTGGCTCACGCCTGTAATCCTAGCTCTTGGGAGGCCGAGGCGGGCAGATTGCTCGAGGTCAGGAGTTCAAAACCAGCCTGAGCAAGAGCGAGACCGCCCGTCTCCTACTATAACATAGAAGAACATTAATTGGCCAACCTGATATAGTATATAAATAAAAAAAATTAGCCGGGACTGGTGGCTCTCATGCCTGTAGTCCCAGCTACTCGGGAGGGCTGAGGCAGAAGGATCGCTCGAGCCTAAGGAGCTTGAGGTTGCTGTGAGCTAGGCTGATGCCACGGCACTCACTCTAGCCTGGACAAAAAAAAGTGAGACCCTGTCTCAAAAAAAAAAAAAAAAAAAAAAAAAAAAAAGATTAAATAAATATATAAACACTAGTAGATGGAAAGTATAAAATCTGACTTAGAGTAATCATTCGGTGAAAGACCTTTATGTAAACACCTCCTTCCATTTTAGAGTACTCAGTGTCTTTCACCTTAGAAGTGTCTTAAAGGTATCCCCCAATTTTTAATCTCTAATGGTCATGGCTACTTTTATTCATTGAAAGACAAGTAAACAACTGCCAGTTTGATTTGAAAAGGCCTTGCCTCAAAATATCTTTCCAATTTATTTGTCACTGTTGCCTAAAGTTGCACCTTTTTTTTTTGTAATAAGGATCATCCCTTTTTAAGTGGTATACCATTGTAATGTGAATCTAACACTTTTCAGCTTGTAAATGACAATCATTCTGAAATAGGAAGGAAGAGAGTTTGAAGACGCTATTTCTAGGGAAAGTGGTTCTAGGCAGAAAGGAAACAGACAGATGGGGAGGTTTTGTCTAGGGCCAGTTTCCAAAAATAAATATTAGTCAGAAATCCAGGTAAAACATGGTTTTGATCCATTATGACATTCAAATTTCCTATTTTAGGGAAGCCAATAAATGACAGTCCTCTTGGTTTGGTAAGTTTGCCTTTTCTGTACAAAATGGAAATTGCCTTTATCACCTCCATTGTCCAAAAAGTCCTGCTCTTGTCTCTTCTTACTTTGCCCCTCAGTTGCTGCCCAGGTCTCATCAGAGTTGTAAACATAAGCCTATATTTTCCCCCTTGGCTAGATTTCTGAGACCATGTCTGTAATAGAATGTCCGTACCTACTTGCAAAGCTAGTGTTAAAAGTTGCCTTTGGTAGCTTAAGGATGAGAAGTTCTCTTCACTGTGCCCTCAAGAACTATGGGCAACTCTAGAAAAGGAGGAGTCACAGAAGTCTCGTTCTTCTTTAAAGGTCCTAGCTGAGAAGAAAGCAGTAGGAGCCATGATGAAGAAACGAAAGTGCATAGAAGAGCCCAGTTCCCCCAGCGGGCCAGGGCTACACAGGTCAGTGGTGTGGGAGAGAGGCTAACTCTGCATCCTTGTTAGGCTTTGCTAGCTATTGCTGCTGGTTGATCCCATCCTGGGGCAAGTCACTTGTTTTTGGGGGGCTTAATCAGTACCTGCCTATTCCAGTAGGTGGACTAAGGAAAGGAAGCATATTGATATTTGCGATATAATTTGAAAATAATCCCTTTCTCAGCAAAGTAGGATTGTTGTATTCATCAAGATGAAGACTGAGAGGAAATACAATCCGACAATTGTATTCAATACAATCAAACAATTGAATTCAACACATTCAATTAGTACTTACTATGGTAGTATGATGAGAAGGCATAAGACTTATAATGTCTCAGAATATTATACAAAAACATAGGGAAAGCCTTGAAAGAGTAAGAACAAATAAAACATAATTCTGTTTTACCCAGTGAGCAGTAAACTTTTGGAACTTCGAGAGGCAGTCCAGTCCAGGCTAAAATATAAATGTTTACAAGAGGATATGTATCAATTATTGGGTGAGGTGCTGTGATATTAGGGAAAATATTGAGTACATCCTTGACACGTTGAAGCTGCTATTGTGAAGGCTACTTACGTTCTTCTTTTGATTCTCTGTCAGGGATAAAATGAGTCAGTAAGACAATTCAGTCATTGTTATTAGCATCCTAGAGAGGGCTGCTGGAATAATTCAAGGTGCGGTTTGCTTCCCAGCCCAAGATGCTTTCACTTCAGCTTCACAGAGAACAGCCATTCTTTTCCTGGGCCTCTGTGGGCACCTAGACATACAGGAGCAGCGAGGGCAGACCACAGGAAGCTGACCCCAGGCCCTCCAGATGCACATGTAGGTGAACAGTTAGGGAGCTCCTTTCCAAGCCAGGTGAAATGTGAGAGTACTCGGAGGTGTGAAGCTTTACTCTGTTCCATTTGACTGCATTTTCTGCAGAAAAGAGGCCTCAGATCTTTTTTTCCTCTGGGTTTTGATGCACAGTCAAGTATTTCAAAATCTGATACCTGCTGTCAATCAAGTTTTCCCTTTCTCAAACCCCAGTGTCTCAAAGTGGGATTCTACTGTGAATTAAAGCAGCACCCAAAGAAAATTTGGCCCCACAATTTATCCTGCCGGCCAGGAGTGGTATAAAAATAGCCAACCTGATGAAATATTCATTTGGGCCACATTTGCTTGAAGTAGTAATATTGCCTCTGCCAGTAACATTTCCTGGGCTTTTTCTCTCAAATTCAGGGCCAAGATGGAGACTTCCAGCCAAGGCCCCAGCACAAAGAAGCCCACTATGGAAACCAGAAGGGTAAGCACCAAAATGGAGGCTTTGGAGGTTCTTAGCTGTTCCTACTCTGTTACAAGTCAGGATTCCTGTTACCAGCACATCTTGGTCCTTAGTGAAGATTGAATTGACTGAACGCATTCTCAGGTTTCACTGTCTGTAGAACAACATTCAACTATTCTGCGCTTGCCACAACCCATCCCAAAAGTGGCTGTATAATACACACATCGATGAATCCTTTTGTTAAGAGATCCTCTATTCTCAGCCTGAAAAGCTGCTTCTCATACTCTGCAGTTGAAATAAGAAAAATAAGTCTGTATTGAATTGAGGTGGAATCCGGCATAGAATTTTCTGTTTAGAAAAATGTTGCCTTCATTTATACTGGGGCCTGAGTCTAGGAATGTCAAGTTTTTACAGGTGAGCTAGACATGTATCAGAACTGGTAATGTTATCAGAGAGGACAGCATGGGCTGGATCATGAATGGCCTTGAGACTACCTTCAAGCTCACAGAAATTTCCTAAAACATTTTTAAGTAGAGGAATGTATTTTCATTTCCAAACTATTATTCTGTCTCCTATTTGCAAGGCATTGTGTTGGGTCCTGGGGCACACATAAACATAGTAACACCTGGTTTCTTTTTTTTCCAGGAGTTTATAATTTAGTTGGGAAAGGAATGCACCCTTGGGGATTTAGACCTCTACCTCTGTGGGCAGGTGCAGAGTACATGGCCCCTGTTGTGCCAGGGTGTACTGGCCCACTGAGTGATTTTAGGTAAATAGTCACCTCCTTCTATACCTCCCATCCTTTAGAGAGGTAAGAAGAAATGAGAAAAGTACGTGAGAAGTACATGAAGCTCTGGGGAACAAAGACACTTTATACAACCAAGATAATTACTATTAAAGGAACATTTCCCTCACTCTCTACCCTTTGTACCTTCCTATTCTTAGTTTGACACATCATCTCCCTCAAGAACAGTACCCACAGCTTCTTACTCAACATAATTACCTTTTCAACCTGATTCTGGGTTTAGAAAAAGACTCTGAGTAAAAGGAACATGTTTATTGATTTTGACTCAAAGCCCAAAGACAGTCTCCATTGTAGACCCTGTTCCCAGGGAGAGGATTTCTCCCAAATTAAAGTGATCACAGTGACTCTCAGTGTAAGTCACTTGATCTGGAAAAATTGAATTTGTTCCTATGGTCCAATGCTTAATATTTTCTCCCTCCCTTTGTGGGGAGTTAGGGTGTAGGATTGTAGTCAGTGTGGATGATGCATGTCTGAACACATTGGGAGCCTGTGTGGGGAAAGCTTAGAAGAATACAACACTTATCTGTTTTATAAGTTGTGGTTCAGAAAGAATGGGAAGGAAGGGCAGACCCTGTCTGTTTGTTACTGCAGGTCCCAGACCTAAAGATCCAGACTTTGGAAGGATAAAAAAATAGAGATGAGCCCAGGAGTTTGAGGCTGCAGTGAACTATGATGGTGCCACTGTACTCCAGCCTGGGTGACAGAGTGAGACCCTGTCTCCAAAACAAACAAAAAAGTTTTTAAAAAAAATTTAATGTAGGAGAGCAGATGAATAGCCCCAAAGTGAAACAGACTACATGTAGGTTCTTCTTCTTCTTCTTCTTCTTTTTTTTTTTTTGCCACTTCTGCTTGAACTGATCTGGCCCTGAACATACAAAGGACAATCTTGCAACAGGTTTTCAGGGTATTATGTCTTGATGGATGTCCCAGATGGTACCCTCAGTCTTAATTCCAGCTATAATATTTTTTTCTTCTCTTATGACTTTTGCCTGAGAAAACCTCTTTCAAGGTTTCAGGAAAGCACAAAGGCTATACTATCTTGTAAAGGGAATCTCCCCTGGTTCGGGGTAGGCTGTACCTCTGCTATAGGGCCTTTGCCCTCTGATCCCTACTACCAACCTTAATAGATGCTTTCATTAGGGCCACTCTATGCAATAGGATTTAAGCCCCAAACCATAGTTTCATTAAGTGTATAAGAATCATTCCCCCAAGCCAGAAACAAGAGCTGGGCCCTCTAAATTCCATCTCTATTCTGTCTAAAAAAGGCAAGAATGTTCTCTTTCCTCCTCAGAGTTCTCTTTTGCTTTTATAGGAATATGACTTAGGTAGCTGCCTATGTTGTCTGGGATTTGAAAGGTTTGTGAAGAAGCTTATCTCAGAAATATCTGCCTTTCTAACCTGAAGCTTACTCTTAGGATGGGGACTAGTCCTAACTTTTCTAGGGGCTTGTTATGACCCACCTTGCCATGCCACATCCCCTTGCTATAGAATTCTTCACCAGCAAAACAGCTCAAGGAACTCAAGCACTGCTGCGTAATCAGGCCCGTATGTTCTGACTGGGTGAGGAGGGCGGACAGTTGGCAGAGATTCCAAAAATATATGAACTGTGGTTCTGACTGTCAGTATTTACTAGGAAATGTTGTGGGCCTGGAACCAGCTTATAGAATGTCCTCTTCAAAGTACAGAGGAATTTCTATAAAGCAGTAGCACATGGAGAAATAATAAGATTGCATTATATTGTTCTGACTGCTAATGCCATAGTCATGTTTCTGCTGCGCCTGGCTCTAGCCATGCTAATCGTATTTACTCTTTAATGGCACTGTGCCCTTGTCCATCATGTCTCTCTCTGGAATGCTCTGCTCTTGTTGACCATCTCCTCACCCCCATTATGACAAAATCCCACCCATCCATCAAGGCCCCATTTAAATGTCACTTCCCCTATGAAGCCTTCCTTGACTACTACCCACTCCATTCATGTCCTCAGTAACCACAACACTCTATATGGACTCATGGGATAGTCTTATCACACTGTCTATCATACTTGATTTGTATATCAATTTTACCTCCTAGATTATACATTTCTCCAAGATAAGTTTAAGGTCCTACTGATTTCTGAAATCTCAATATTCTGTTCTTGGCAATAGTAGGCACTCAGTAACATGGTAAGTTAAACCCAGCTTGGTTTGTTCTTGGCTCTTAAATCTCATGATTTTAGAGGGACAGTAATTAGGAAGCAGAAATGAAAAAAGGACAGTCCTAAAGACAGAAATATAGAACCTGTCTGGGCAGTCAGAAGCCAGGCCCCAGTGCTGATATAAAATCAGTTCACCAGCAAATAGCATTCAGATTGCCAAGATGTGTAGGAATAAAGTTTAAGACTTTCCTTGGTCCTCTTTAAATCAGAACAGAGAAAGAAAAACCCAGCAAGAATGGCAGGAGACCCTGGATTCTGATATCACTGATGTCCAAGAAGAGGGTAGGTTCTGGGAAATTCATATTTATTCTCCTTTAATAATCACCCTGTCCTGTTTAATTCTCTGATGAGCAAAACAGCACAGAGCTCTGAGTCTGGGCACACTCAAGGTAATGTGCCTTGCTCCCATGGAGGTGCTTGTTTGCCACCTTGTGGTCCAGGGGCCTGTCCTAAGTAATAGAAGCCCCCCAGCTCCCAAAAAGAGTGAAAGGAGGCAATGTATGCCCATCCTCTGCTTCTTATGGTGAAGTTGATGCTCCCATGATTCCAAAACATTTCTAACTGGGGTGATAAGTTTTATAGAAAAGTTTGGAGGGATGTGCTTCCCTTTTATGTACTGTTGGAGAACAGTACTGTTGGGAAGCTGTCTCTCCTCTTTTCTTGGGGCTTTAGCATTAACATTGAAGGTACAGATGGATGCTCTACAGGGCTGGGAATGCAAGTCAAGGTATTACTCTTCTACCTTGCTGATCTTTTACCCAGCATGAGGATTCAATGGGAACTGCAGTTATCATAGAAGCAGGGGAGATGTAAGCAAGTGAGTTCTTCAAGTTGTCATTCCTTGTGAAAGCATTTCAGCCATGGTGGGTAGCTGGGACTCGAGCTGTGTAAATGTCTCAGGAGCCTGAGTGACTACTCCAAGATCAGAATAGCATCTTACTTAGCTGAGATGAAATTGGGAAGGTCAAAACAAACAAGTCACCTGGCTTTAAAGAAATCTTGGTGTAAGGTTGCCCTTATCTCATGCTGGGTGTCCTGCCTTCTCTTACTCACACAAAAGCAGCCTTTGGACTAACACTTTTTCCTGCCTGAGTGTTTTCCTTACAGATTCTAAGTTAGGGGATGGCCTGGCAGGGCCAATTGTCCTACCATTGCAGCAGAGCAGTCCACCTCCACCTAAAGAACTAGGAACCAGTGGCTTCTTTGGATTTCTAAGGTAAGACAAACTTCTCTCCTGCCATCAAACCGAGATCCAACTCCAGAGTGGCATTCTAGTTCCAGAGTTTGCCTCATCGAATCTTTCACGGTAATTAGAATAGAGAAGAAAGCAGATTACTTGCAGAGATTTCTCATTGATGTCCAGGATATATGATGGAAATGAGATTGAGAACTCATTGAGAAATGAGATTGAAAAGCCCTAATTGTGAATTTAGACTGTGCCATATTCATTTTTATGTAGTTCATCCCCACCCTGGCATGCCCAGCAAGTACCTGGTTCTGTAAACATTGCTTAAACAGAGATTATTCTTACTTGTGTCATTCAGATGGTTTGATTACTAAAATATTTCCATTCTCCCCTCTGAATCTAGCTTTGTGTCTTCAGAGTCTTTTTTTCAGAAGGTAGCAAGTCCCCTCTATCTGTCTAGAGCTCAGCCATCCTATTGCAATTCTTTTTATTTCCTCCTCCTGAGTATAATCTAATTTGGGTACCTTTTCAAATGCTGTTCCAGGCTTGAATTTCCATTCAGTGGTTCCCCAGAGCAAAAATGCCCTAGCTAATGAAGCACTAATGGGAATCTGGAAGAAAGGAAGGAGACCTTATAGAGTCTCAGACTACTCTGCTCTCATTCCTGCAGCTCTCTCTTCCCGTTCCGATATTTCTTCAGGAAGACCAGCCACTAGTGAGCATTCCGAATGCAGCTATGGAAAGAAGATCATCTCTTGCAATGATTCCTCCTGAGCCATTCTTCCTCTGACTCGATCCTTTTCTTATGACACTTCAACCATGGGGAATGAAGGCACCAAACTACTGAGTCCTCTGTGGGTTTGTCCTGTCCTCTGCCCCCTTATAATTAATTTTTTTTCCTATTTAAAACATTAAGAAAAGAATGGAACTTTCTAAAATGCTCTGGCCCTGAGGGCCAGTTTAGGTCTTTTGTCTCTAGCACTCAGGATTCTAATGACAATAAATTATTTATGAAGAATTATTGATTGAATTTAGTGAAGAAGAGAAAGACGAAACAAATTCTTCCCTCAAGATACAGAGAAACAATGCATGAAACTTCCTCTGCCTCTACCTGGTTACTGTTTACTGGATCACTTTGGGTCAGTGAGTCTGTACCTGACCTCAAACCTTAAACTTCACTGCCAGGGGTTAAGGAATGGGGTTTTGCAAGACTCACTGTCCTGAGCCCTGCTGACCCAAAAGAAATCTCTTCCTTGATTCACCCACTTTGGTCCCAAAGTGTAGCCTCTCCATAGGTAAAATGCTCCCCACCTGCCTATCCTGCTGGCTCTTTGACAGTAACGCAGCCTAGTTTATTAGATTAACTGGAAGTGAGTCCAGGTTAGGGCCCCTGGAGAAGGCCTGGGCATCTGAGCTCTGTCTTCAGCTGAAGAGCTGGTCTGAGCTGACAGTTTAGACTTGTGTAGCTTCAGAGTACCAAAATAATCAATAGGAATTTAGGGAAACTCATTTTAGCTCAGGACATAGGAATCACTTTTTAACTGTTAGAGATGTCCAATATTAGAATGGGCTATGGCCTGAGGTATCAGCCCTCATCACCAAAGGCATTAAACAGAGCCAATTATCTGTCACGTGCCAGAGTGTTTCCCTAATGAGTGGGAAAGTGGGGGCTGGACTGCTGAGGTCCTGCTGAGTCCCCTTAATTCACTGCCTTAGCCTTTCTTGGGGAAAAGAAAAGAGGTGGACTGCTGCAGCGCCCCAGCAAGTGAGGACCCAGGGCCTGAGGGGAGGGGAAACTGGGGTGTGGGGATTTGAGACTTAGCAACATTGGTAATACCAATTCCTCTCAAACTGTGTTTACAGCCTTCACTCTACTGTCCCAAACATGGCCTACTTTACAAAGCTGCTGAAAGGCACATCTCCCAAATCTGGAGAGCTGAATGCTCATCCTGGCTCTGACTAGCTTACAATGAAGCTTTGGGAAAGCCACTTTCCTCTCACGTTCTTATTTTCTCATCTGCAGATAGAGAGGGTAGGATTTGATGAGCTATAAAGTGCCTGCTGGCTCTAGAAGTCTGTGTGACTGGCCCTACTCTATCTAAACAGATCAGTGAGGCAGCGACCCTGGGGGGAGCTGTCCAGAATCACCATAGCTTCCTTCTGATCTCCACCCTGCCCCAACCTCTCTGGCTACTGCTGACCAGGGGTCTTTTTCCAACTTGTCACATTCTTGCCCCAAGTATAAGTTAGTACCATGGATGGATGGTAGGAGATTTGGGTTCTATATTTTTGCTTTGTTTTGTTTTGAGACAGTCTCACTCTGTCACCTGGCCCGGAGTACAGTGGTGTCATCATGGCTCACTGCAACCTCAAACTCCTGGGTTCAAACAGTCCTCCTGCCAGCCTCCTTAGTAGCTGGGACTACAGGCACAGATCACAATGCCTGGCTAATTTTTCTATTTTTTGTAGAGATGGGATCTTGCTCTTGATCAGGCTGGTCTTGAATTCCTGGCCTCAAACAATCCTTCGGCCTCAGCCTCCCAAAGTGCTAGGATTATAGGTGTGAACCACCAACCACACCTGGCCAGAGATTTGGGTTCTAAACCAGTCCTGACATTAACTAGCTATGGGACTTTTAGTAACTTTCCTTCTCTAAGTCTTAGTTGCCTGACATATAAAATCAGAACTGGACTAAACTATCAGATTTGCTGAGGTGGACAGCTTCAGGCTTGCAGGAAGGAGTCAGGTCACTGTTATTCCAGAGACTAGGAGGACCGTCCAGCTCAGAGCCCCACTCTATAGCTGACACGCAGGATGTGAAGTCAATCACTTGACACTGTGGAAGTGAAGTTCTGAAACAGACTTAGTAACCCTCCAACCTCCCTGGCTCTGCCACCAAGCACACCTCAGGAGACCCCCAACTCCAGTGTAATTTCCCTTGTCCATAATACACTTCTTCCCCAATCCCTTTCCTCTGTAGTCAGTAAAAAACACAGGCAGGGCTGAATTTAGTGGTTTTAAGGTTGGGTTGTCGAGGCCCTAAATAGGGAAGTGTCCAGCCCAAGGTCACACAGCAAAGAAGAGAACCCAAGTGGCCACAATTTAGCCAGCAGTCTCGACCTCTGTCCCTTAGTGCACACACTGCATACTCTGCCTGCTCCTGGGCTTTTCTTCACATCTCACTTCCCCATCCCTGGACTGCGGGCAGCTTTATGGACAGAGGGAAGCAGAAAGCTGCAGAAGCTATTCTCTGAAGACCATGCCTCAAAGAGCAGGATCTCCCAGGTGGGATTGTGCTGAGGCTTCAGACTGGGAGGCCGGCCTGAAAGCAGATCTCCAAGAGGGCGTGGCTCCCACACTGCTGGCAAATATAAAAGCCTGGAGAGCCGGCACCAGTCTAGAGACCAGCAGGAGGCACAGGGAGACTGCAAGCCACTCTACTCCTGGGCCTTGGAAGTGGTGAGCTCCCGGAGGCAGGAGGAGCTCTGGGGAGGGCCTGGGGATGTGGATGAGGGCCCTGCAGGCCAAGACGGGGCAGATGGAGGGAGGAAGATGTTCGTGTGCCAAATGGTGAGGGGAATTCCAGGGGAGAATCACTGCACAGAGGGCTGACACACAGGTCCCACCCAGAGACAGCTGCTCACACACACATCCATCTAGAGTGACACAGGCAGACACACACACATACACACTCAGACACACCTCACCTGTCAGAAAGACTAAGGTCTGCCTCACTCACCTGGAGGCATGCAGTATTTAAAGAATTCCCCCTCCCAGCTGCACACCCACACAGAATCCACCCACTGTGTTGCAGATGCCTACGGCGTCCCCCCACACCCTGCTCCTCTGCCTGCTGGTCCTGGCAGCCACTGAAAGCTGGGGTCAGGAGACAGCCATCCCAGGCTGCCACATGCACCGTGAGTAACTCTGGGACCAGAGAGCTAGGAGGAGTGGAAGTTCTGGGTGGGAGCACAGAGCTGACAGACCAGACCTCGGAGCTGGCAGCTTCTAGACAGACCCACACGGAGGCACAGACAGCAGGAGCTGGAGCAAGCCTTTGCAGAGGCACCGTCTACCACTCGCCCATCTCCTTCTAGCCTTCAACGTGACAGTGCGAAGTGACCGCCAAGGCACCTGCCAGGGCTCCCATGTGGCACAGGCCTGCGTGGGCCACTGTGAGTCCAGCGCCTTCCCTTCTCGGTACTCTGTGCTGGTGGCCAGTGGCTATCGACACAACATCACCTCCGTCTCTCAGTGCTGCACCATCAGCAGCCTGAAGAAGGTGAGGCGGGCCCAGGTCTGGTGGGGGAAGACAATGGAGAGGGGGATCTAAGATGGCCCTGAGATGCCGTCTACGGCCATACCACCCTGAACGCGCCCGATCTCGTCTAAGATGGCCCTGAGAAAGGGCACTGGAACATGGAGTCCCCTCTCCTGCAGGTGAAGGTGCAGCTGCAGTGTGTGGGGAACCGGAGGGAGGAGCTCGAGATCTTCACAGCTAGGGCCTGCCAGTGTGACATGTGTCGCCTCTCGCGCTACTAGCCCACCTTCTTCCCTCCTTCCCCTAGGTCACAGGGCTTGATGTTCTGGTGGGAAAAACCTGGGTCTGGGATTTAAAAACCGGGAGGAGTTCCAACTCTGCTGGTTACTTGCTATGGGATTTTTTTAAATGAAGGGGTTTCTCCAGCCCTGACCCTTTTAAGATTTTGCAATTGTCACCTTCTGGGAAGAGGGAAGATTCTGCCTTTACCCTGCCTCTTCCTGACCCTTCTAACCAGCCTTTTATCATTTCACTTTTCTCTTTGCCCCTACCCCTAAATAAAGCAAGCAGTTCTTGAGTTTCTTTCTTTATTAAGTCTACCCCCCAGCCAGGGGAAGGGGGATAGACCATTATTACTGTGACTCTTACCCCAGGACACTGTGAATCTTTTCTTGCCTGTGCCCTCACCCCTCCCCGTGCCCAATAAATAAAAAGGGGACAAGGAAGTATAGGGCGAGGGTGGGGAGGGAAGGAAGATGCCCCAGGCCCAGGACAGTATCTGTGTTGAGGGTGAGCTGGGCGAGAATAAATAGACCATGGACCCCATGGTGGGGATGAGGAAGGACCTCGAGCTGGCCCGAGGCAAGGGCAGGTGAGGCGCCGCGTGTCCTTGCCCTAGGCTGGGAGCAGGGGGTAGAAGCCTGCCTGCAGCCTGGAGCCCAGCTTTGCAGGGCAGGGGAAGATCCCTGACGGCAGCTTCCTGGTCAAGCTTGCCCTGGTCAAGTCCTGCCATACAGGCCTGAGAGTTCTGTTGCCAAGACCACCATCTCCTCTCCCCCCAGTGAAAGCTTGGCCGGGCAGGGAGTCCTCAGAAGCCACTCTGGCAAGGCCAGGGGGCGGTGTGTGTCTCTCTGGGCCCCTGGGCAGGAGAAGGGTTGGAGGGACTGGCGGCTCTGGGTTTAGCTTCTCCCCTTCTGAGGGGCTCTCTAGCTCTGACCTCCACTGGTGGCCACCTGGGGTGAAAGCCGCTGGAGGGGGGCCTCCCTGGTCCCCTGGGCTCCCTGTAGCCGGCGTAGCTGCAGCTCCTCCAGGCCTTGCCACAGCTCCTGACGCTCCCGGGCCTTCTGCTGCTCCCTGGGGACAGAGGGTGAGGCAGTTCCCCTACCTGGGCACCCCCACAGTCCAACCTCCCACCACTGCCCCACCTGCAAAGGCAGGGCACAGATCCATTTTCTGTTCTGGGACTCCATAGGAACCATCTGCTTAGGGCAGAGAGCTGGGGAGAGACTTATCCCAGCCTGCAGTCATAGAGATGAACACGCTCGGCTCTGACTGACCCCATGGCTGAAGGGTAGGAAGCCACAGGGAGCCGGAACAGGTCAATGCCTGGAAGAACTACTTGGAAGAATGACTAGAGGATGAGGTGGGCAGCTAGGCACAGGACGGCCCAGCACTTGGCAGGAACGTGGGAGAGACTTTCAGCATCTGATCAGGAAGGGTTTGGGGTGGTCTTCTAGGGTTCCCTCCAGCCATGAGGG